CCATTTTCGGACTGGCCAGGCCCAGACTTGTTTAGCTTCTGAGATTTGACAAGATTGGGTTAGAAGGCGATAGCGTTGCCATTCATAAGATCTGTGAGAGGATCATAGAAGTTCTGAAATGTATAGCTGATTAAAAAAACTACAGTAGTTCCCACACCCTAAAACAAATCCTGATGTAAAAGACAAAAAGTGACAAATAGTTTCAATAATATTTTATACAATTGTCTGAAAGCACTTTTCATATAATGGCATACAATCTGTTCTAGTAAGATCATGATGGTTGATAACTACAAACAAAAATGTATCTGTGGTTAAGATAAAGAAGCAGTTTTAAAGCAATGGGTGCAATGCTTTTTGTTACATTCAGCAATGCATAATAGATGAAAAGACTAATATATACATTTTAGCTCAAAATGGATGATAGAACTAGATACACATGAAACTGAAATAAATGGATTTAACATGCTTTAAAAATCTTAAAATGGATTGTCTCGATACAGAGTGGTGTATCTACTGTAGTGCAACATGAAGCACAAAAGGAAGGACACATGGAAATAACTTGTATCTTCTGCACGTACTGTACCAGAGAGTAATGCAGAACTTATGCAGAAGGCAGCTATCGATACCACAGATGTGAAGCTGTTGTGAAAATGCAATAAATTATGTTCAATTATTTGGAGATACTTCATTATAAGGGGTTCGTGAGGGGCTCTGTACATGTACAGAAACATGATGTGAGTGGATAATTAGCTCTTTTTCTTCCCTGCAACAACACAAAACAGAGACATAACAAGGTTTTAATAATAATTTCTTACACTTACTGTACAGTATATAGCACTTTTTTGGGCACTGCACCACTAGCAACGTGTAGCTCCACTGATGATGTGTCAGCTGCCGAAGTGCACAAGTAAGCTCACCACACATCAGCTCTCACTGGGGAGGACAACAGAGAAATAAAGCTACTGTAATTGTTAGATGAGGATTATGAGGAGGCCATGATTGGTAAAGGCCAGGGGGAAAAGTTGGCCAGTGCACTGGGGTAACATTCGTATTCTTTTTGAGAAACACCCTGAGATGTTTAATGACCACGGAGAGTCAGAACCTGGTTTTATGTGAAGTACGGTGCCTTTTTACAGTAGTCCCAAACACTATACTGATGGCATAAACTGCTTATATAACTGCTAACTCATAATGTTGTGCAATCTACCAATGCAGTAACACATTGCATGGACATGATCAGAAATCATGTTCTGCAATATTGCCTATGGTTCTTTGTAACTAATGTGCATAAATGTGTTCCAGGAAGAATAATTGAAATGTTTCTCTGGCAGGGTTCAAGGAAACCCATTTACAGCAATGTGTCTATATTAAAACAACTAATTTGTTTTTAATTATGTTTGGGTGGGAAGAAACCATGTTTGATGTCTTTAATTCACATTAATCATAATCTTCAAAAAGATGATCACAACAAAGATGCGCTAATTTGAAAACTCCATGAAGCTAAAATGTTGCTTTTTCAACTACAAAAATACATATCATTTAGAACTGTTATCTTAAAACAAAAAGGCTAAAACTCCACGTTAGGAATGGCATTAAGCCATGGATATGGCATAATGTGTGAAATATGTTTCTAAAGAAGAAAGATGAATAAAAATGAATGAAAGTGAAAACAGTGCAACACGAAGTGTGTAAGATGTGCTCAAAAGTGAATACTGTGTGAGTGGTCAAGGGTGCAATTTATGTTAATAAAAAAATAGTTTCATACCTAAAAAACACAAAAATGAACAAACTCTAAAAAATGGAAAAGGAGCCTAAATTTGCAAGATGAGAAAATGCATCTGACTGTCCTGTCAAAACATTACCTAATTTTCTTCTTTCTATAAAAATATTTTCTGCTCAAACCAAATACATCATGCCAGAACATTGAGAGTAACTTGGAGATCGTCATTGAGAAGAAGCAGTTGTATACTCTGCAACACAGCCACACCCAAAATCGCTCGATCACAGTGCACTCTTAAAACATGTGTAAATGGGTACTGGGTTCGTGTACAGTACATCCCGAATATATATGTGGCAACGAGGGTCAGGAGAAACCTTCATCTGGAACTACTGCTACCACTGCTATGATGTGTAAATTCAATGTTCAAGTTTGAAATTGGATCCCTGATGGTTTTAGATGTTTATCCTTTAAAGCTTATTAACCCAAATAGATACAAATAGCTCCACTTTTGATTGCGGTCACCTTGTCTTTTGAATGACGAGTCACAATAACCACCTGTAGCATTTGACTTAAATTATTAAAAGCTAAATTAGACCTTGCTCTGAGTTTACAAAGTCATTAACAGTAAATAATTGTTGCATTCCTTGAAATGAGTATAAATGTAGGGAAATAAACAGGAGGTGATTCAATAGAACTTAGATTAATCAATTTCAATGAAAGGAAGAAAATGGTTTTCACAAGTCAAGAAATTTGGGTGCAGCCCCAAACCAGTTCTGTTCTAATACAAAAACCAAAGAACAACTCTCATCTTGGTGAAATTACAATTAAGATATAGACATTACTCTTCTACATTTTAATAGTTGGTGCAATATTTGTTTTGATTTAAAATAGTTTCGCTTCGTATATGAAATGAATGGTGCTCACATTGCATACGGGCATGCATTAATGGAAAGTACAGAAAATATCTTATTTTGAGGAAGAGAACAATATTCACAAACCCTAAAGAATACTGTATTTTTTAGGCAAAAACTTGGTTATGCTACATAGTGGCGCATGCAGGAAAACTACTATTTGTCACCCTGGCATGTAAAGTTTGACAGCAAAACCAAAACTGATAAGATATTCTTATCACTGTTACATTCTGAACAACACCTCAGTCGATTAAGGGAACTATGTGGTGTAGTGGTCCAAATTATATTCTGTAGCCTTTTAATAGTTGGAGGTTAGTGTATTTTTTTTTAAGTTCACACCCATAAAATATTAAATTCCTACACCCTAATATGAAGAACCAACCCCACCTGATACACTAAACCAGAGGATTCAGTGCAAGACACATCCTTAATCGAAAATTTCAAAACATCTAAGGAGGGAAGCTTATAAAGTCTCATTAGACTTTTGAATTAATAACTTACATTTTAGTATACATATGTGCTGTGCGTATCACATTTTTAGATCCTATGTAATAGTTTTTTAACTATTAAAAATTTGACAGGATCAACAGCATTTTCCTAATGTTGCTAGGAAACATAGGTAGTTCTTATCATTTGCTTTGTATTGAAGATGCCTGCGATAGACTGGCATCCCATCCAGGGTGCATCCTGGCTTTCACCCATTGCTTGTCGGGTTAGACTCCAGCTTACCTCGCAGTCCTGTACTGGATAAAGTTGTTTAGAAACTAAATGGATTAAGTAGGCCTCCTGCTCATTACATTCAAAATATTTTCAAGAGGACTCCCAAGAATGACATGCAATTGTATTGTTTAAATTAATGGACTTTCAGGACAAAGTGTCTTACATGTGGACATTTTGTTTCCTAATGCAGCAAAAATTATTCTGTTCACAGCTATCATTGACCTTGGAGTAGTGCCAGCTAATTTATTATTCAGGCTTAGTTTTACTGTACAGTTGTTCCCAATGTAGAATGCCGAAGGCCTTTGAAAATGATTGTTCACCTAGGGCTTAAAGGGATTCTATGACAGATGACACTATAAATGTCTAAGAGAGTTGTAGGATCCTATATTGAAATTAGACAATAAATAACTGCCAATATGCAATTTTGCAAATATCTTTATACAAAATATATCCTAGAACCAAATCTATGTTTCTTGAATATACAGTAAACCGATACATCTGTTAAAAGCTATACAATATTTAAGCAACAATATTTGTTGTCTTCTCTTTTATATCATATACAGTATGTATATGTGAGCTGTCCTGAATAGAAGGGAACTGAAATAGTATCATGAACAGCATTACTACCTGAACATCACGACGAGCTGTCTGCCAATGCAAGATAATATTTGAGGTTTCCTGGTTTCTGTATTTCTTACTTTGGCTTATGTGAATGCCATTTTACCCCACAAATCATACTTTTAGCAGTGCTGAAAAATGTACTGTACATAGCAGTTATTGCATTGCAAATGTGATGTAAAACCCAACACTACATAAAGAACTGATATCAGTGTACTCATACATGGTTGAAACAGCCCGTTTTGGATCTTGGTAGAGACACTCTCCAGGAGAGAGGCAAACCTCAGGTCAATTCCATGGCACTGTAGCCTCCAGGCCTCCCAGATGTAACTCAACAATATAGCAATCGGGCAATTGTACCAATCTATCGTTGTGCTCAAAGTGGCAGCTTCCCCAAGCTGTGGTCTGTCCTCCTTCCCTGGTCTCGTTCCCAAGAGCTTTCCCATTTCCACAAGAGGAATCAAAATTGTGCAACTGCTGATATGGTGCCTTACAGGTAATGGCATTCAATTAAATAAATTTATAGTATAAAACTATAGTATTATACTTAAAGACAAGACATTTAGAAGTGATAAGTCTGAAATTCAAAGATACTAATACAGTAAATACTATAAAAGTGTAACATTGAAATCCATGAAATACTCGGGGAAGTATTGCTGTTGGCTTCTGACTCAAAATGTTTCTGTATTAACCTGCTACGGCACTGTTATGAATTAACACATGCTTCACAAACTCTATAAATCGCTTTAATAGTTTTAAATAAAGAGTTAAGAAAGTGAAGGTCTAGAAAAATACCAGAAACAGGAGGAATAGAGGTTCTCTGTAATGTGTAAATGCATCTAGACTGGGGGATGGTTTTAGCACATACCATAAACTGGACACCAGAGCAAACAGTTGAAAGCTTCTGGGGTGTTTCACAACTGTGACATTTTGTCACTTGAATCCCAGATATTTCCTGCTAGCTAACCTCACAGTTATCTTCCCCATTTTCAGCTTCCTCTTAGCAATTTCAAACCTTGAAAATGATCAGCCTTCCTGCCTTTACTGCACTTGTCATTGATACAAGCAAAAGACGAAGCCCTGCTTTTCTGTCCTCAGCACTGAGGCCTAATGGAAATGGTCAAACATTTCTGGCAGGGTTAAGCCAAGGCCAAACAGGTATGTAAAAGATAAAAGTCTTGTTTTGTATGTCTTAGAAATTGTAAATATTACCAATATTAATTATATTTTTGGTCGGTTTTCTGATCTGCCATGTTATACTGTAGATAAAATATCGTTAAAATATACTTCTGTATCATTTTCCACTAGGTGATAAATAAAATTGAAACTTAGAGGCGTGTAGATTTCACATAGGCAGTATGGTCCAGGTCTATAATCCCATGGATTTTTTAATGAGTAAAAAAATATTTTTAATTAATAAAACAAAGAAGACAAAAACTGTATAAATGCAATTATTTTAAACAGCAGTGGTGATATTTTGGAAAAGAAAAGTGTTTTCTCTTTCAAGAATTCAAAAGTAACACTTCATATTCTGTTTCGGCATCTACTATTGCCAGCTACGTAGCTTTAGTCTGACCTCTTCAAAATACGTTTATCTGTCATTTACAATGTCCTATTTTTAAGATATTCAAAATCAAGGGATAATAAGCCTAGTATCTTTCAATTATATATATTTGCAACACGTTTAAAAAAATCAATTAGTAAGAACATTACTAGAAAGGGAACCTACGACACATATATATTTTCCTTGGAACAAAACCATACCAGATCCATTAGCTAACTTTACTAAGAATGAGACTGGTCTTCAGCTACAAGATTTAAAAAAAAAAACTTCAATAGACTTGAACATATTGTGCATATGAATATATGAATGAACTCTACAGATCATACAACCTTAGAGATAAAATTTCTAACATTTCATTTTTTTTTATATGAGTATTTGAAAAGTTGAGATCAAAGCAATTAACCATACTAGGAACACAAATATGTGGTACGTGTTACTCAAAAGATTAATAAAAATGAAAGGAACATACTGTGATATGCCACCTCTCTTATAGAATTTGTAAATCAGCTTCAATTGGTTCAACTTATAAAGTATGAATGTATGAATTTCAGGATTAAAAGTGAAATGTTTTTCATGTATTTAAATTTTATATAATGTTAAAAAAGGAATGGACTTTTCCTATAGCAATAAGAGTGAAGACATTTTGTAGCAAATTAACTTCTATAAATCCACAATGATAAAACAGAAACACTGTAGAAAGCCTTCCGGGGGGATGTTCAAAGCTCACAATTAGCTTTCTTTTACATCAGATGTGACGCATTTAGCATCTACAGGGCTGTCTGATATACAGGAAGCCCAGCAAGAGCTTGTGGCTATAAGTAGGCTCAGAATCACAAGAGTCTACATGTGAGTTAAAGTTAAGGGCCTTAGCTATTCCATTAGGCTACTGTCACTGCAAACAAAGTTACTGATTTTAATTAAAGAATAGTACTAAGATAGCAAAAAAATCTGCTTGTTAAAGTCAGGCACATTTGAAAGCAACTTGATTAGTTACAAATTTGTGCTGTCTAGTTAAATAACATAATGCAGATCTCCCAAAATGAAGAGACGAGCAATTTTTGTGAGTACATTTTGACTTGTGTTTTTACTCTTATAGATGTCACTACACGGTGTGATATAATGGACAGAAAAAAAAACTCCTAAAGATATTTGGTAAAGTTAATGTTTATCCTAGAAAGACCTTGACAATTAAGCAGGTTAAAATGTTTTTACTATTAATTTCCCTTTGGTTATGGATTGCATGTTTTTTTCCCAATCTGTCTGCTCTGGAAAATGCAAATGATTAGTATTCTAAATACAATTAATATATCTTGGTAACGATTAGATTATTCTCCTAACTTATTTTCATGATGGATATTAATATTCCAAAAGGATCTTATTTTTATTGCTGCAGTCCTGTTCGTTTTTTTTCCTCAACATTTTCCAATTTTTTTTTGGGGGGGTCACTTTAATTTCATAACAATTTGTAGATTTAGACATTAAATTCCATCCTTTCAGTGTTCTTATTTAAAATAAAAAAGCATTTAAAGAAATATAATGCTTGTTCTCCTGCTTGTATCTTAGAAATTCATGTAAAATGTAAAAAAAGCATTACGTACACAGACTAATATTGCTAGCATTTCAGTGGCCTTTGTGTTGATTTTATCTACTTAGAGAACTGACACTGCAGTTTGAAACTGTAGAATTTTCTTTAGTCATCAGAGCAGGCAGCTTTCAATAAGACAGTCAAAATACAATGATGTTTTTTACAAAGATAATGTTTAATGCAATGATTTATAGTCTCTCATCAATGTACTGTATGTTGTTTTCCTCTCTGTATTAAACCAAAGTGTTCTTTTTTCTTCTAGAAGTTTTTGCACATGGGGGCCATTTCTACTTATGAATTTGAAGCCTTCCACTCAGTGTATTTGACAAGCTGAGTTCGACACTCAATTAAGCAGGGTGTCAGTTTGTCAAATACCCCAAGTGAGAGGCTGTCTGACATCTGAATGTTCTCCAAGTCCACATGTGCCTCAATCAACAGCTCTTCGCATCTAAGAGGATAGATAAAGCAATCTTCTCTACAACGTTTTTCGAGTATAAAGCAAAACTTTTATGCACTCAGCATCTACAATGATACTAAACAGTTGCATACTCAGCCATTTTGACTTTTTTTAAGCAAAAAATATGTAAGCAAAATAAAACAGAAGGTAATTGAAATTATTTTAACATGTGTATGTTGTTTATTCAGAAGACAGAATAAAACTGAAAGGATAAGTAATTGTCTACCTAAAAATGATTGCTTATTTAAATTGACTTTTGTACCTTTTTATATGTTTAGTACAAGATTTAGCATTTCTGATAAAGAAACTTACTATATATACGGCTCATTGTATTATCCTGTACACTGATTAATATATAGATTTTTTCTGTTTATGAATGCTGGGATATTAATTATGTAAATGAAAGACAATGAAAGCTAAGCAAAATAAAATATATATCTACAGTAACTGTATTCGTAGTTTTTATTATTCAAAATAACAGACTTGTGAAGATTAAATCACAGTTTTGTGGCTAAAATATAGGTCCAGAGATCCACTGAATTAAAATGTGCTTATGCAAATTATGTACAATACATAATCAGAGGTACTTTCTTTTTTCCTGTAGTCATAGGATCAAGGCTATTGTGGGCTGTGAACATTTTTTGCATGTCTGAGTTTCTTGAAAGATGCATGAAAACAGCCTGTTATGTGACATATAAAGTACAAAATGAGTATATCATGAAGAGTGAGTCATTTGCCTACTGTTCAATTGGTTAATTGTAGCATAGCTTCACAGTAAACATAGTTATAATGAGATGTACAATGGAATTCATAGATTTAGAACAAAACATATAGAAAAAAGTGAAATAAAGGAGAATACATTTAGAAACTACAAGAAAGTGCTCTAAAAACTGAGAACAAGAGGCACAATTTACAAAAAGCTCTGTGCTGGTCTGGAACTGGGTCTACTGTATATTGGTCTGTATTGGTTAAGCCAATACAAGAAAACTGTACAAGAAACAGCAGGATGAAAACAAATATTTGGATGAATAAGTTTGTAGCAGCCAAACGATCTAGTCAGGCTGAATGGCCTCATCTCATTTGCAACCTTTCTTATCTTCTTATGTGAAGAAATGATTATGATTATTTGCATAACTGTGTTCTTTGTCAAATGAGACCTTACTTGAATCTTCTGTTTGTGTTTTTGGTTCAATTAAAGACAGATATAGTGGCTTGGAGGCAATAGAATGTCAATTTAATCTACAGTATATAGTATCATATAATCTATACAAATAGTGTCCCTGTCCCTGTCTGATTACTGTGGATGGATCTGGTCCTCTCTCCACTTTGGGGTTCATAGATAAAGAACAATTCAAACTTAGAAAATCTGAATAAATGTGAAGAGAAAGAAATGAAATAAAAAGTCTATTTTATATTGCTGACCTATTAAAAAGCAAACATTGAACAAGCGGTCTATAAAGAGAATACTATACACCAGGAAAGAAAACAGGATATCATTTGCAACAGGTACAGTAAGTAATGCAAGAGAAAATGTTAGGGGGAAATAATTACTCTCAGAAATGTTAGTTTGATATTGATGGTCATGAATAACACAGTTGTTGTGTATCGTGAAAAGAGGAAACTGAGGGTTTCATGCTTCTGTGACAAATGTAAATGTATTTGGGATGCCACATAAATAATGTGCTATGATATGGTTTTTATGGCTTCTGTGGCAATGAATGCTTAAGAAAATCGTTAAGCACTTATTAATTTGCTGCAACGGCTAATGCACATCCAGGAGTTCTGATGTGTGTTTTTTAGTGTGAGTCCTTGGCTTTGGGAGCACATTCAAATACTGTAGTGAGGATTTTGTGTCTCCTACTAAAGAATATATAGAGGAACATTGGGTATCTATTTTCTCACTCCATATATCTTTTTGCTGGAGTTTGTTTGAGCCACCCTTGTCAAAACATCTTTCTGTGGCTAAAAAGAACAAAAAACTACCCCAAGGAGAATGTTTCATAGAAAAAATGCTGAACTCATACCTGAGAATTTCTTGAATCCTTTAAATTAGGACTGTGATACTATTTGCTCAACTCAACTGACAAAACAAACTCAATTGACAAAATGTGCAGTTTGAAGTAAAAAGCTGTGAGATCTTAAATGGAGATCAGTATGGACAAAAGGAGTAACTTAGAGTGGTAATGGTATGATGAAACAGAAAAAACAGCATATAATAATGTATCTGTAGTCTCTTAATTAAGAACACGAATTAATCACAATGGATCATAAATCATATACAAATTATATGAGTTTTATTAAGGCCCTTTGAATAGAATGAGTTTGATCCAGCCTTGTGAAATAACCTTGGTAATTGACTGCAAGGCAGGTGTAACTGATAATTTAGCCCTCAGAAACTGTTAGAAATCACGAAATGTTACAAGGATACCATTATAACATTTAAAAATAAAACAGAACTTTGGAAACTCTACAAAAAAAAAAGGTGGTCTATTCATTCTTAACGTAAACCTAAAGTCACAGATTTTACTTCTCATTAATTCGTATTATTATAAGAAGTCTCAGTTTTATCCAGAGCAGACAACGACATTTTAATTCACAACTGAAATTAAACCAACAAATTTTAAAAATATTAGTAAGCACATGTTATTTGCAAAAACTTAGTAAAGCTATCAGCGAATGTCAGTGTTCCTCATGACTTCCCCTCTTAACTGAATATGGTTTGAGTAAGAGAGGATGTGCGATATCCTGTGATCTGATAGCTATATATGGCAAATGTGTCAGCAGTGTTTGGCATGGCTACTTGGCTAATGGTTATTCAGAGACATGAGGCAAACCACTAGCTGCTAAAGTTTAAATAATGTGAATCACCAGCAATAAAATTAAACCATCTGAATAAAAGGTTTCAAACTCCAACAATGTATTCACACATTCGGGCCAGGGAGCTTAGAATAATTTAAGATATGGATCTTAGGATAATCTAAGGGAAATGCATCTTTGAATCTCTAAATTGCTTTAAGTGTGGGGATCTTAGATTAAATTTGCTGTCCTTATACATTTTGCTTTAACCATAGGAGGGGCCTTAAGATAAAAATATTTTTAAAAAGTGTCAGTTGAACTTGTCACTATATTTATTGGTTTTACCATATTAACACATTTCATGTACAGAATTCTTTATCTAGGGTGTGTCCATCACAAAGGGTTGTGATTAAAACTTTCTTCCTCCTTTCATTTCTACTGGTCTTGATAAAAAAATCTTTCAGTTTAAATTTCAGTTTCTTTAACTGTATGAGCTAAAGTTTGATCAAGTGTTACATACTGTAGTAATTACTGTACAGTATATACTGTTTATGCACACATTTCTTCTCAAATCATTCTCCTGCATGCTTCAGGTATTCATATTTTATATGGTCTCTGTTAAGCTAAAGTGAGGACTGAGTGTAATGTAATGGTTTGCAATGATGAAAAACAGGATAAAGTGTACAATATTAATGTTAAACTGTCTGATGCTCGTTTTCGATTTGAGTTTTAACTTATTTTATTTTATTTTCCACTTTTCTTATTTTTATTAGTGATACAATCATCACTAATACAGTACCAATGCTAATAATAAGGAATACTACCCAAATTTATATTGTAGAAAGGGATAGGGAGAGTAATAATGATGTGGTAACTGAAACATTTGTTTTGCTGTAATATTAATTCATATTTGACCTTCCTAAAAGTAGTACTTCAATAATGATTACTTGTCTTTCAGTTACAGTGGAAGAAAATTAGCTATTTTTTCTACTGTACAGTACATTTACATTCTAATATTTGCATTCTTAACAGTACAGTATACAATTATACTTACTTTTCCGTATCATAGAAATTTCCTGAAAATAACAACAAAAACATAATTATTGAATTAACAGATTAAAACCACTATACAAAGGATGAATATAATATATATAATATCTAATATAGTATTTATACCAAAAAAATAGGAGATAACTAAAATGTGTCTTTTTGGTAATGGTTAACTGTCAGATACATGAGATTGTTCTATAAGCACTAAATAAACTTATTAACATGTAACATGTAAAGAGGTCTTTTAACTCACTGACTGGCAAGCCTGGTACTGTAGATACTGTATCATGTCCCTGCTCAAGCCATCTGGGGTGTAATTTCTCATCTGGTGTACTATAATAATCAGATGCAGTCTCCCAAAGATAGGCCATGATCTGGGAGATCACAAGCCATAACACCTTCCCAGGATCTTGATCAGCTCCTGGGACCTTACATGGTCAATGTCCTGACATGACATTACATTACAGAAGGACAATGCCTAACCCCTTGATGCCTAACTATTGTTTTCTTGTAGAATAAGAATGCGATATTGCTTCCAACAATGGTCATATGTGCTACTGGCTAGTACCATTAGTACACTTTTGTTGTATAGCTCCTGTCAATCAACTCTGCTGATAACAAATGTTAATCAGCATAATGAATCTACATACTGTATGTCATGTCTGTTCAATAAAATGTCAGTGCACCTGCTGCAAAATAATTGCTATGATGTTCCTGATATCTTTGTAAATTTGTGGCAATTCTAAGTGATACTTTTGTTTTGATGTTCAGTATACAGTATTCAGTTGATGGTCATACAGTAATAGTATATTTTCTATAATCAAGGCTTTACATACAGTCATTTGGAAAATGATTTTATGCTTGAGGTCTTTAGGAGGTCTGCATCATATTATCAATTATAGAATTATAAGCTAAACCCAATTGAAAAGCTGCCATTTAGAATAAATAGATATTCTGACCAATATATTTATTTATTTGAGTGTATATGTCACTTATTCTGTCAAATATTTAGTTTTATATCAAAATATTACAAAAGGCACATGGATTTGGGGCACATGGGTTATTGAATCATGTTATTTACTGTATAGCAGTCTGTATAGCAATCGTTAAGTACAGGATGCATTAAGCTGAGTCATACTTGAAATAATGCCTACAAACATTGCTCTATAGTGAACTCTGTTGGTAGAAGTGAAGCTTTAAGAACAACACTCAGGCCTACTCTTTAGTTACATTGAGGGAGTAATTCTAAGAAAATATACATCAACTACTTGAAGGAAATTAACAAGATGGTTTTCAACCTACTGCATTTTATGTGAAAGTGGGTACATTTCAGAATTACTACTATTAGTAACTACAAAATTACTAATT